TATTTGTTCCTAAATCAAAACTAGAGGGATGGGACCAGCAGTTAGCGTAATGGCTATGTCACTGGACTCCCACATAGTCGACCACGTTTCAAGTCCCGAACCCGGTGGCTTAAAAAAAACCTCACACCGGGCGCATGTGTGTGTGTGCCCAAGATCCTGAGAGGACAATGGAGGAGAAGGGATTGCGGCATGGCCATCCCCCCCGGGGGGGGGGTGATTTCCTGCTTTCTATCTCTCTGTCTCTCTCTGTCTTTCTGGCGAGCGTATGCGCCCTATAGCAAAAAAAAAAAAAAAACTAGGGGGCTGGCTCTGTGGCCTGGTGGAGCCAGGCAGTCAGATCCCACATGGCCCACCCCATGGTTCAAATCCTGACAGATTGGAGAAGGCATTGCCACACAACCATGCCTATGGGGGAGGGAGGGCTTTTTCAAAAATAATAATTTATTTCATTGTATTTATTTGCTTATTTATTTATTTTAAAAATTTGACCAGAGAGAGAGAGAGAAAGCAAGCTGCCAGTTCCAGGACTTGAACTGCAGTTTGTGATGTGGGAGTCCAACACCGTAACCACTATGCCACCTTTCAGCCCTGATGGAGGAGGGAGTGCTTGTCCCCTCTCCCTCGCTGTCTGTCTGGTAGCACACACACCTTCTGGCAAAATTTAAAAGCAACAACAAAAAAACTCAGACGTTAAATTCATAGGCGTGTTGATGGCGAAATTTAATCTTATCCCAGCATCATTTCATCAAAGAAAGCTCTTAGCACTATGCTTTTTTTTTTTTTTTAAAGGAGAAAAAAGGGCATTTAATTTATTTCAGTGACGGAAATGTCATCAGTAGATGTTTAGAAAATAATGATCCACATGATTTCATATGACTCAAGTGTCATTGAATTATTTCACGTACAGTTGGGTTTTGAGGGAGAAAAAAGCAATTATGGCCCACTTCCCTCCTGGCTGTTAATTTCTTGGCCCTTGTGGAAAAAAAAAATTTTTGTATTAAAAAGAAAGGAACCATATCAACTGCAATTTATTTAAGCAGCCATGTTTTATTGTAATGTGTTCTATGTAACTATTTTTTTCCTTTTTTTTTTTTTTTTTTTGGCTAGAGGGTAGGTGTGCTTGCCAGAGAGGAAAAAGATTTTTTTTTTTTTTTTTTTATTTTGCTAGAAGGTAGGTGTGCTTGCCAGAGAGGAAGAAAGAGAGAAAGAGAGCACCCCCCCCATGGGCCATGGTCACACCACAATCCCCTCTCCTCCAGTTCCTCTTTTAGGATCTTGAGTTCACACACACACACACATGCACACACATCCAGTGTGTTTTGGAAGCCACTGGTCCAGGACTCAAATGGTACAGTCAGCCATGTAGGATCAAGCCACCTTTACCACCACGCCACTGGCTGGCCCTAAGTAACCCATTCTAGACAGAGTCTGATGTAGCAGTAAAATATTGTATTCGTTTGTTATTATTTTATCTTTATGTAATCAATAATGGAGCAAAGACTGATTTCACTCTTTCTACTTGTGGGACCAGCAGATGTCATAATAGTTATGTCACTGGACTCCTACTTAGTCGACTGCCGTTTGAGTCCCGGACCCAATGGCTTAAAACTTACGTCAGGCACTTGTGTGTGCATGCCCAAAATCCTGAGAGGAGAATAAAAGAGAAAGGATTGCAATATGGCCATCCCCACTCAGGGGTGATTTCTCACTTTCTGTCTCTCCATTCTCTCTGATAAGCGCACACACCTTATAGCAAAAATCTCTCTAAAAAAGAGAATGCTGGGACCAGCAGTTGGTGTAATAGCTATGTTGCTGGACTCCTATGTAGTCGACCATGGTTCAAATCCCAGACCCAGTGGCTTAAACTCACGCTGGGCCTGTGTGTGTGCGTGCCCAAGATCCCGAGAGGAGAATAGAAGAGAAGGGATTGTGGTGTGGCCATCCCCCCTGGGGGGGGGGGGGGTTTCTCGCTGTCTGTCTCTTTCTGTCTTTCTGGCAAGCACACATATCCTATAGCAAAAACCTCTCAAAAAAAAAAAAAAAAAAGAGTGCTTATTTGCCATCTCTTCCAATATTCTTACATAAGAACAGATAATACCCTTTCATCATGTGTGCAGAAATCATTTTAGGAGACTGAAGCACTCGCTGTGGTGTATGGTTTGTGTTTTCTTTTCTGTCTGGACGCCATCTGGAGCCATGTGTAAGTGTTTAACGTCTCCGCACTGCACAGGGCACTTCATGTTTTCACACCTCTTTCCTCTGTGACCCAAGTGGTTAGCCCAGGAAAAAGCCAGGAGAGTAACTATCGCCAGCATGTCTACCCCTGCAGCAAAATCAACTCTCCAGAATGACTGAGGGGACACCAGGGACGCAGTGCCTGGGTTCTGCGAGATATGTAGTTGGCAGCAAAGAGCCTAAACATCGGCTGTAAATACAAATGTTCGAATATGCCAGTTCGGGGTGACCAGCGGACGGTGGCCAGCTATATAGTTCAAGACCCAGACCTGTTGGCTTCCATAACATGCTAAGCACCTGTGCATATGTACTCAAGATCCTGGAAGGAGAAATGGAGAAGGGATTGCAGAGTGGCCATCCCCCATAGGGGTACTTTCTCACTTTCCCTTTCTCTTACTTGTCTCTCTCTTCTGTGACTTGTACACATTCTCTAGCAAAAAAAAAAAAAAAAGGAATATGCCATTCTGTCACCCAGAAAGAACCAGCAATTTAAGCATCAGTTTGATAAGCACTGCCATTGTTCAGAATCACCGCTTAAATGTTCATGTGGAGACACTGCTGGCTGCAGTTCAAATCCAAGCCCTCAGACACATGAGGGTAGGAGGTGTTTGTGGAGACACCAAAAACTTTGTAGAAAAAAACAGTTAAAGTACAAGTTTATTTTGATGCAAAAAATTTGAAATTGTGCATAGCTTTTTTAACTCATAGAGGACACATATTCTTGCCAAAGAATCAGAGAGAAAGGGGAAGAAAGCCCTCCAACTCCCATTGGGTGTGGTCACACCATAATCCTTTCTCCTCCTGTTGGAGTTTGGAGGCATGCATGCATATGCACCTAGCATGTTTTTCAAGCCACCAGGACTGGGATTCGAACTTCAGCACACCACATGGGATCAGCTCCCTTAACCACTAGACCACAGAGCCAGCCTGCATACTTTACTCACAGTACACACTTTCTGTGAACTTTTTAACCTTCCTATAAGACTATATTCCTAAACATTCAAAGCTGAACTGTTTTGTAAAGTAAAGCAGTAACTTTAAGCTTAAGCTTAGAAGGACTCTGAAGTGTGTGTGTGTGTGTGTGTGTGTGTGTGTGTGCAATGAGGTGTGTAAATATCAGGATACTCTTTAAGAGACATGGCTATGCTCCTCACAGTCTGAGTGTAACAAGTAACTGGAGGTTCTGACTGGCCAATAGTCCCCCACATCATACTGAAGAGTGATATATAAAATCACAATGCATACTTAGTGTTCTAGAGTTAGCTAATTCATCACAAAGACAGCGTATTTGGCAATAGGCCATAAGGCAGGGAGATACCAACTACATGTCAGCTATGAAGAGAATGAATGAGTGATCGGGGGCATTAATTCTACAATGACAAGTACCCCGTGGGGAAGTACTTGGGCAGATTATAATACGCACAGCAGGTGATCATACCGATAAGACCTTTCTGTCCCAGGTATAATGCAAGTGGGTTTAAAGTTCATGTTCTGGGAGCCAGCAGATGGCATGGCAGTTACATCACTGGACTCCTACATGGCCAACCATAGTTTGAGTCCCGGACCTGGTAGCTTGAAACATGTTGGGCACATGTGTATGTGTGCCCAAGATCGTAGGAGGAGAATGGAGGAGAAGGGATTATGGCGTGGCCATCCCCATGGGGGCGATTTCTCACTTTCCCTCTCACTGTCTCTGTTTCTCTATATCTCTCTCTCTCCAAAAAACCCCCAACACCCAAAAAAAAAAAAAAAAAAAAAAAAAAAAAAAACACTAAAAAAATAAGAATAGGGACCAGCTGGTAGAATGGTGGTTAAGGTACTGGACACGCCCACATGCATGGCCGACCATAGTTCAGCCCCCGGACCTGGTATCTTGCTGACTCATTTTTCCTCTCTCTTTCTGTTTCTCTCCTCTGGTCAAATTAAAATAAATGGATGACTAAATAAAATTAAACAATTCTTTTTTCTTTTTTTGAAAGGATTTTGCTATAGGGTGCATGTGCTTGCCAGAAAGACAGAGAGACAGAAAGTGAGAAATCACCCCCCCAGGGTGGATGGCCACATCGCAATCCCTTCTCCTCCATTCTTCTCTTGGGATCCTGGGCAGGCACCCATCATGAGTTTAAGCAGCCACTGGGTCTAGACTCGAACCACGGTTGACTACATGGGCGTCCAGCAACATAGCCATTGCGCCAACTGCTGGTCCCAAAATTAAATAATTCATTTTTTTAGAGGTTTTTGCTATAGGGCACATGCACTCGCCAGAGAGAGAGACAGAGAGACAGAAAGCGAGAAATCAGCCCCCCAGGGGAGATGGCCATGCCACAATCCCTTCTCCTCCCTTCTCCTCTCGGGATCTTGGGCACGCATGCACACACACCTGGCGTGAGCTTAAGCTACTGGATCCGGGACTCAAACTGCTGTCGGCTACATGGGAGCTCAGCGACATAGCCATTACACTAACTGTTGGTCCCAAAATTAAATAATTCTTTAAAAAAGAAAATAAAAAGAATAAAAAAAAATCAAGCTCATGTTCTGAAATGTGTCCAGGCCCCTCTGGTGGGCCTGTCAGTTCTCCGAGTGTAACAATCAAGCCGACGGTGCCTGATTGGCGAGCTGACAGACCTTTGCACATTCGTGGTCCCCTTGTGCCAGGGAAGGGAACCCTTCGGCCACACCAGGCCTTGCCTGGTGGCGTCTGAGTGCGGATGCAGGGGCTGGGGAGCTGGGGAAACGCTAAGGTGTGCCTTGTCCCTTCTCCCCAGGGCACCTGGACGACGACGGGCTGCCGCACGGGTTCTGCACAGTCACCTACTCCTCCACCGACAGGTTTGAGGGGAACTTCGTTCACGGAGAGAAGAACGGACGGGGGAAGTTCTTCTTCTTTGATGGCAGGTAGCACTCGTGCTTGTGCCGTGTTGTAGGGGGGTACCGAATTTTATTTCAAGGGATGATACAAACGAAAGAATGAACGGCATCTGCACTTCTGTACAAATGATACAAAAGGTAAAAACTAGTCCGGCGTGATGCACTGCTGCGGTGGCTCGGGAAATACACACATGCACGCACACGCACGCACGCACACAGTGGCTATGGGGAAATCAGCTCAGGCTTTAACTCTCCTCACTATGTCCCAGGGTGTGCTTGTCAGACAGACGCCCACCGAGCCGGATTCAAGGACCACCATCTACTCTAAGTTGATTACGGGGTCATCCAATTCTTTGGTGAAATTCGCTTGATGGTTCAAGTAATATGTCTCAATGAAGTCGCACAGGAGGGATTTTTTTTTTTTTTTTAAGATTTCCCCCCCTCCCCGGGGAACCAGCAGTTAGCGTAATGGCTATGTTGCTGGCCTCCCACGTAGTCGACCGTGGTTCACATCCCGGACCCGGTGGCTTAGAACTCACGCTGGGCATGTGTGCATGCGTGCCCAAGATCCCGAGAGGAGAATGGAGGAGAAGGGATTGCGGTGTGACCATCCCCCCTGGGGGGTGATTTCTCGCTTTCTGTCTCTTTGTCTCTCTCTCTCTGTCTGGCGAGCGCACGCGCCCTATAGCAAAAACCTCTCCAAAAAAAAAAAAAAAAGAAAGAAAGAAAACCGGATCCCACATGACCAATTATGCAATTCGAGTGTGGGACCCAACAGCTTAAGAAATATGTCAGGCAGGTGTGTGTGCACGCCCAAAATCCTGTAAGGAAGGAGAAATGGAGAAGGGATTGCAGGGTGACCATTCCCCATGGGGGATGCTTTTTCCTCTGTCTCTCTGTCGCTCTGGCAAGAGCACAAACCCTCAAGCATGCACATGCACACACACACACACACACATTTTTTTCTGTATTCATGATAGGGCGCATGCCCTTGAGAGTGAGAACGAGCGTGCAGGCTCCATGAGGCCCGAGCACGCCTCGCTCCCCTTCCTGTAGCCCTCCAGTCACTGGATCCTGGGCACTCAGGCACCTGCTCAGCATGTTTCGGGCAGACTGGGCCAGGGATTCGAACCACAGCTGCATGTGGGATCCTAGGTCTCTTGAGCAGCACATTACCATTGAGCCACAGATCCAACCCCATGGGGTCATTTTTGTTGGCGGCCATCTTGCGTCATCTCGAAAGCCTCAACGGATGTTTTCCCAGTGAGGCGCACACAGCTCTCCCAGCTGTCATGGTCTGGTGGCTCCGTGTCCTGAAGCAAGCATCAGCCACCTCGCTGGTGCGTCAGCTTCGCTGGCTTCTCGGCAGGTGCCCCCGTCTCACGAGACTGATGAAGGAAATATCTGGAGAGTTCTGGAAATCCACATCGTCGCAGCAGTAAGACACAGGCAGGTAGAAATAGGAAGGGAGAGCTCTAGGCTCGGGCCTGACAGCTCGTCTTTGGGAAGACTCGTCTGAGTGACGCCTCACTGCGGAGGTGACTGGTGTGTGCCACCGTCTACAGCAGGGCTCTTCCCACTTGGCTTTCACTGCCTGTGTGAGGGCTGCGGGGCAGAGGCTCCATCCTCTCGTCACGAGTGAAATGACCGTCAGACTTCTCTCTTTCCAGGAGAGATGGGGGTCCGCGCATGCCGTGCTAGCTAAAGTGTGGTGACTAGTTCCCACATGGCCAATTGTGAGGTTCAAGTCCTGGACCTGACACTTGAAAAACACACCAGGTGCATGCGTGTGCCCAAAGTCCTGAGAGGAGAGGAGAATATGGCATGACCGTCTCCCCTGAGGGTTGATTTCTCATGTCCCCTCAGTTTCTCACTCTCACTCTCTCTCTCCAGTGAGTACGTGTGCCCTACAGAAAGGCAAAAAAAAAAAAAAAAAAACCTCACTAAGAAAAATAAAAGTCAGCGGGCAGCAGGTGGAATGGTGATTAAGGCACTGGACTCCCACATAGCCAACCAATGGTTCGAGTCCCAGACTCAGTGGCTTGAAAATCATGCCAGGTGCATGTACATACACCTCCAAAATCCCAAGAGGAAATGGCAAAGGGATTGCAGCATGGCCATCCCCCCTCGGGTGTGATTTCTCACTTTCCCTCTCTCTGCTGTCTCTGGAAAGCACAAACTAAAAAAAAGAAAAAGTCAAATTTTCATTTTCATATAAAGAAGAAGTGAGGGTGCATTGGCCCAGCTTTCCAGCAATGACTTTCAAACAGAGCCCGCTTCTGGCTGGCCCTGTGGCCTAGTGGTTAAGGGAATCAGAACCCACATGGCTGACCACAAGGTTTCAGTCCTGGAACGAGAGGCTTGCAAGTACACCAGGCATGTGTGCGCGCATGTGTGCATGCCCCAAATCTCAGCAGGAGGGAGAAGTGAGGAAGGGACTGCACTGCGACCACGCCCCACTGGGGTGCTTTTCCCTTCTCCCTCTCCCTCTCCTCTCTTTGTCTATTTCTCTTTGGTAAGCATGCACACCCTGTGGAAAAAAAATTTTTAAGTGAAAATAAAATAAAAATAAACCATGTCAGCCCCAAAAGCAAGGAGAGATCATGAGAATTTCTCAAGCACTTAGAGAAACCCAGAGCCATGGAATTCGGGGCTACTTTGGGCCCAGTTGATGGAATAGCAGAGAATCAGGCCTAGCTAACACGGGTCACGGGGCTCTGTGGGACGTAGCTCCAATTACTGCAGTCCTGACGCTGGTAATACCTGGGACTTCCTGTGGGAAAGGGAATATCTAAGCTGACAGCTGAAGGTGACCGCAGGGACTGGCATGTGACCCAGAATCCCTTTTCTGTAGCTAAAACGTTTTGTTTTGTTTTCGTTTTTAGTTTTTGCTACAGGGTGTGTGCACTCGCCAGAGAGAGAGAGGTTACCTGCCAAGGGGATAGCCACCCCATAATCCCCGCTTCCACTCTCCCATCAGGACTTTGGGCACATGTACACTCATGCCCAGCATGATACGCCTCCAGGTCCGGGAGTCAAACTACGGGGTTGGCCACGTGGGATCCAGTGCCTTAACCTCCATGCTGCCTGGTGACCTGAGTGGGTTGTTTTCAAAGATGGTAACAGATTCGCAGGCCCTCAAGGCCTGTATCTGATGTTAGGAGGGGTAAGAAAGGAAAAATGAGAAACCTATCCTAGAACTTTTCTGAATTGTCATTTTGATTCATCCTAGCCTTCTTTTTCATTGCCGGCAACCATCACCTCCTTTGTTTTAAAGCTGAGTTCTGCTTATGAACTGTACATTTTTAATCGCCTGATATTGCACTTCCGTTCTCTTGCCTTGCTATGAATACCTGGCAGATTCCAGGGCCCCGTCAAGGCCACGTTCCAGACGCTGCAATCAGCTCTTTCTCCTCTGGCCACCCCTTTACCCTGTCCAGAGGGAAACATTCCTGCCCCATTTCCAGGACGGTTGTATTTATAGCTTTTTTTCTGGAAAGTGTGCTTTTTTTTTTTCCTTCAGGTTGCTATTATTCTTTTATTCATTCAATAAATATGTATTTATGTAAATGCCTTATTTCCCTGCAGTACTCAAGGACAGAGGTTTTGCTCTGAGGGCAGAATCCATGTCTGTTACATCTTTTATGCTTCAATAGCGCTTTCTGTTCATTTGATACCAAAAAAGAAGAAGAAAAAAAGGCCCTGCTTAGTGGGGAAACTGAAAGAGAAGGAAGAATTCACCCCGAAGATTCCCTTCCCCCCCCTCCCTCCCCCAGACACAGGGTCAGGCTTTAAATCTAGTAGTTTGAGAGTAACTGATGGACTTTTTGGAACACAGTCCTGCAGATTTGGTTGAATTCAGCTTACCTGCTTGTGTCAGAGATGCACAGAGTATTAGTGGGCCAGACGCAGCTAGCAAAGCTGTGGTCCGAGGATGAGCTACGCATCAGCCCCCAAACGCCGGCCCCTTCTATCCTGAGGGTAGCCAAGTGGGGCCTGAGGCCCGCTGAGCATCTCCCGTGCTCTGGCTAGTCACTGCCAGCCCCAGTCAGCCTCATTCACTTAGCCCAGTCTGCCCCACAGGTACAATAATTTGCATGTGTGTCACGACATGAAAAGCTGAAGCACAAGGTCAGGTGGAAGCACGAGCCTAATAACTATCTACAGACCAGGGGCCAGCAGGTAGCATGGTGGTTAAGGGGCTGGACTCCCACATGGCCAACCCTGGTTTGAGTCCTAAACCTAGCAGCTTGCTTTCTCACTTTCCCTTTCTCTCTCTCTGATCAAATTAAAAAATAATAATTTTTTTAAAAAAAACTATTTATAGACCAGAAATATATTCACTGCCTTTTTGTCTTCTTGAGATACCAGTTTATTAATTGTTATGCCTTCCACTCAAACACCTGCAGAGACCTTGGTTAAGTAGGAGACTAAACGAATGATAGTTACTTGTGAAGACTGAGGTCCTCCAGGGATTATCTGGGCTGGTCTTCAGCTAGGTGGGGGCGATACCTCCAGGGAAGATCAGTATCTGTTTCTATTACGGGTGGTGACATGGATCTCATGTCGTCTTTCTCAGGCTCAAGTTTGATCATTGTTATGACATATCTGATAAAAAGTAAAAAGGCTTGCTGTAGAAATTAGTGAGACAGTCTTATGCCTGAAAAAAAAAAAGGCTATGGAATTCATTAGGCTGCTAGGGAAATCATAACATATTTTTCTATGCAAAAATGTGGCATGACTTCCCCGACAACCCAATGTTGGGCCTCCCCATGGGGGATATGGATTTGGTTGTGGGAAATCAGTTGTTTCTCCATGAAGTAGCACCTTTATTTATGCCCTCCTATTAATTTTTTTCCCTATTACCATACCTAATTTTATTTTTTTTTTTTTAAGATTTTTTGCCATAGGGCACATGTGCTCTCCACAGCAATAGAGAGAGGGAAAGTGAGAAATTCTCCCCTCTGGGGGGATGGCCGTGTCGCAGTCTCTTCTCCTCCATTCTCCTACTGGGATTTTGGGCACGT